TGTGTGTGTGTGTGTGTGTGTGTGTGTGTGTGTGTGTGTGTGTGTGTGTGTGTGTGTGTGTGTGTGTTATACCGGAGCGTCATAATAACACGGAATAAATCACGCAGTCAAGTGCTTCCCAGGAATGGAACGTCGCTAATCATTTCCTTGAGAGAGGACACAATTACAGCGGGAAGACGAGAGCAGTTGGACAACTTGCGAAAGAAGAAAGGGCTTATCGGTTTTCAATTTAACCATCGCCGCAGTTCAGTTCTTCCTGCTCGTCTCGAAAGTCCACGATGATTGGCAGTATCCACACACATGCGTATCCACACACACGTATCTACACTCTCTTCTTCCCCCTTCCTCTTTCGAAAATACGGTAACAAATTTCTGTGTTAAATTTAACACGTCCAAAACGATCCACCCGAATTTTTGTGTTAATTTAGTACAAGGCAAATATATTAAAGAAAATAATGTTATGTCAAAACTTAACATAAAAGAATTTCGCTATTTTGAAGCGAATTTTATAGAACTGACATATTTATAGTATCAAATGTAACACAACAAAAAGGTTCTACAGTGAGTATTTCTACAGTTAAAGTACAGAAAAATTTATCTGAATTCTATTTATCTTCTTTTTTATTGCGCTGCCTTTAAAGTTTTGTCAATGATTTTAGTTAAAATATTCTAAATTAAATATATGTCCTTCGATTAATTCCATTAGTATCACATTTGGAAAATTTGTGCTTTTCACAAGTGGGATTGAACTTGAGGATTTTTCCTCACTAGTTTTCGGTAGAATTAATATTTATAATATCTATATTGAAGTATAAAACTTGTAATTTTAATAAAATTTGTAATTTTAATATGGAATATGTTGAATATCAATCAACACAAGATATTTGGATAATGCAAACATAATATATTAAGTTAACATATGTTTCATATTTATGGGGAAAAATATTCACAAGGACCAGTTATAACACAAATGTAAAATATTTTTTACTCTGTATATAGAATCGTGCACACGCGAGAACATAAATCCATGTAAAGCTCCGTTTACATAACTCGTAGAACGCAAGAAGCAGGTCGCAAACGCAAACTGATGTATCAGCTTGCGCAAGGCACACGTAGGGTACGATCCATTAGACGCTGCGAACGCTTTAAAGCGTTCAAAGAAAAATCACGATTGGCCTATACGGCGCTTCAAAATATTTTCAGCGCTTAATAGATCGCACTCGAAGTTGCACTCGCGCCTTACGTGGCGAGTTGATGCAATTCAAACTTTTCATGAATGCGTTGCTTCTACGACACTGCGCTTACGTTAACCAATCGAAAACGATTTCGAAGGGAGTGTGAGATCTTATTTATTTATTTATTTATTTAACGGGAATATACCTTTTAACATTAAGGAGAAAAACGAAAATTAATGAAATTACATAATAAAATTTGTAAAATTACACATATGAAAGCTTATGCCGCGGATAATTTGGAAAGTCTAAATAAAGCCTTTATGTAAACAATCTGATTCAAGGTAACGCTGAAAAGAAAACTATAAACATTATATCACGCATCTTCGTAACCAAAACAAACCGAACCTATTTTCTATAGTCAGTAAATTTACCTGTTACGTTGGTAAATATGAGTGTATTATAGTATATTTTGGGTCTTTGAAAGAACAATTACGTTGGTATACTCGCAACGGGAAATAATCTCGAAGAAGTCGATAGACACAAATATAACTTCTTGCGTACTATTTTTGCGTTCAGACATTCGTCTCACACTGTGATTTGCGAACTGCGAGTGAATTTTGCATATCCTGCGCGTCTGCGGTCTGTATAGATGTGGGGTCAAGCTTTGGGACCTCACTTCACGTCGTTTCTCGCCTGCTGTCTTCCAACTTCTCAACGTCAACACTCTCGGCGGAGTGATCGCCTGCATTGTGACTGTATCGATATTATCTGCCGTGTGTCAAGTTGTATTTCACTTGTAAATTATTTTTTTCCCGCGAGTCTATCTCTCGACACCTCGTCCGTCCGTCCTATCTACCAGCCGGCCTGGCCCACCAACGGCAACGGTGCCCCCAAAATATTTATGTGCGCGCAGATATCGAGGTTCGAGCGCGTCGCTCGATCGCAACCACTACACACGGAGCACCGTGGGCCGATTAATATCAGACTGCCTGACCAAATCGTGTTTCGATCGGTCAAAAAAAATAATAAGTGAGAGGGAGGAAAAGGGGCCGTTATATTTGAAACGCGTGCACCGAGGGCGATTTGCGCGATCGTGCGCGTCATCGACGAATCGGGTTCGCGCTGAATCCCCGTGAATTTCAGTAAATCGTGTCGCCAGGATTAATCGGGCGTGAGTGTGTGCGCGAGACTCGATCGACGACGACGACGGCGGCGGTGGCGGCGAGAGTGGGATCTTCTCGAGTAGTGGAACCCTCTGGAATTCGGTGAGCATCGACGACGGAAGAGGAACGCGCCGAGTGCAGCGCGCGCACGAAGAGGAGCGCCAAGTGGAAAGGGTCCGCGGATCAGCCAAGGATAAGAGGCGCGTACGCCCACGTGGAAGCCCGGCAGAACGTTAAATGAATGTTGTTGCGGCGGGCGTTGGCGATCGTGACGGGCAAATCGAGGGGGCACGGCAGGATCGCTCGATTTAAATTCATAGATGTGCGAGCGGAGGGGCCGACAATGGTGGCTCGGCTCCCGCAACAAGTTCTACTGCTACTGGTACTCGGTGAGTAAGAACACCCGGCCATTCTGCTGCACAGTGGAGACAAATGAAAATTTACTGTTCAAAAATCGGGCCGCAATTCTTAACCACAATTGAATTTTTCTTGAAATTAATCGTTAATAATCTTCAAAGAGAACTGTGGAGCTTTCTAAAGAAGGCCCCTTGGAATTTGCAATATTAACAATCTGGAAATTGTTAACCCTTTGCTACCCAAATTAATTTCTCTTGTTTACAATTTTTTATGTACATAGGATGTTTAAAAATTAAAGTATTCAATACATATAAGAGAGATGAAATTTTACTTTTTCAACTTTTTATTTTCCAAAGATAGCTTTGTGATTCTGAGATCACGTTGAGCAGTTACTATCGTTACTAATATATTTAAAAAAAGTACCCATATTGTGAGCGTCATATCGGTCAAGACAGGAACAACATTCATATTCGAGATAAATATTGATAAAACTGGATTGTGACTTCAGAGTTATAGCGGACAATAAAGGGTTAACCAGAGAAGTTGAATTATAGGAATATTATTTTTAAAGCTATTTTTGTACTGTTTGTATCTTATATAAAGATTTTTTGGGGTCGCTGAATACAAATCAGATGTTAGAATTAAGATTTAACTATTGACAGCTGTCAATCTTGCTGTAAAAATGCATGTCTTTTAGCGGAAGTAAAGAATTAGGATTTTAGAGGTTGCCTACATTAGGAATTTTGAAGGTTGCTGATCCCATGTAAGAATTAGGATTTGGTAGTTGACAGCTACTAATACTACTGTCAACTATAAGAAAATGCATATTTCTTAGCAGAAATAGAACCACACTAGGGTTTTGTAAACCGCTAAATGCGAATTTGTCATGATTTTCAGATTGTTAATTATATTTAATATTTCAGAAAGCTCTTTTTAAAAATTGAGTTTCATGTTTTCTTTTAATTTATTAACGATTAAAAAAACGACTAAAAAAAGATTCGATCGATTAAGAATTGGAGTCTGCAGCAATTTTAAATAATAAATTTTCATTTGTTCCCATTGTGCGCGCCGAGCGTGTCGCGGCTTCATCGTGCTCGCTACCGACGATATTGCTTCCCGAATTAATGGGAAAACGTCGACTGCTGTTGAGGCTCCTGGTCATTGACGACGTCAGAAACGAGAAAACGCGCAACCGAAATTCCTATGTGGTATTTTCAAACAGCAAGATATTTGTGCGGTTAGTTACAAGTCAGTTTGCACGCCTTTTATTAAACAAAGTCACGACGCCTTGAGCTGCCAGAATTAAAAGTCACTGCTCTGATATAGAAGTTACTTCTCGAAATATAATAACTTCTCTCAATTTAAACCCTTTCTTCCAAATTTTTCACGATTGTCACACTCTGTATCGTCACTTCAGCTCCTGTCACAACCGATTACTGCGTATATGCATCAGCAGTGCTTTTCAGTTTTGACAACTCGAAGTGTTGCAACTTCATTTGGTAGAAAGTATGCGAGTCGATTTGCAACCGACTCTATACATTGAGAGAGAAAAAAAGTTTAAGAACAAAAATACTTAGGCACTTAAATACTTATTGGGCACTAACAATATATTTACTTATACTGGTAAAAAATATCTTTCAAGTAAAAAAATATGCATTTTCTTAAAACCTTAGTTCTTCATGAAAACAATGGTTTATTCTACTTAAATAAAAGGATTTAAACCAATATATTATTGGTACGCACCGAATATAAATATTTTTTATTTTTTCGATATTTTTTCTCTCATTACATAAATGAATATTCGAGGTAGTTTGTGCATACTCTGGAAACTATCCTCTTCCCTCGGCAGTCAATAAATAGCTGTCAAATTAACATGATATGCAACCTTCCTTTGCAATCTGCTTTTCCTCATGATTTTGTCACGTTACTTTCACAGCTATTTATAGACTGTCAAGGGAAAAGGATACTTGTCAGAAAGTTTTACAAATATGCTCACACGATCTAAAGTAATCTTTCGTTCAAATATCTTTTCGTTTAAAAATGGCACGCAAACATTTTCAGCGTGTCATTTCTCGCTTCTGACGTCACGATCCAACATGATCGCGACCCAGAAGCCTTAATATCCGAAGCTGAAACAGATGAAAAGAGGTAGTTCCTCTGTATATTGTTTTTTTCCAGATTATCGTTTTTGTTATATGATATATACTGTAAAATATTTGAAAAAATACTTGAAGATTCATTTGTGTGTGTGTGGAATAAAAGTTTATTTCACAGAAATAAACTTTATTTCATAAAAATAAATGTTATCTCATAGAGAGAGAAATGAAGCTTATATTCAACAAATAAATTCTCAGGTATTTTTTTCTCAGTGTAGTTGAGGAATTTATGAGTATAAGAAATTCTCGCGAACTGCGTGGTCGGAGAAGGTAATTCTTAATATACATCAGTCTATATATTTTTGCCCATAAAGTCGATAGAAAGAAATGAGATTGCCAAGAACTGAAATTAGCAAAATTACTCTGCTACTTGAAAGCGAAGAAGCAATTGTCTTAACATTTGAGTTGATAATATAATCTTTTTTCTGGATCTCTATATTTTTTTTCTTTTCGTCTGCAGCCCCTAAAGTAATATTGGCTACTCCCATTCCACAAATACAACAAGATAATTTAGAAAAAAATGTGAGTCAAGGCTAAAATACAAATACCGCACAGCGATTCGTAATCGTACCTGACACGAAAGTCCATTGTACTTCGGAACTTCGCTTACGCCATCTTCAAAATGAACGGCTCGCATATCCTCTATATTTAGGCAGCGGCCGAGTTAACCGACCATGTGTACACGCGTACGTAGCATACACGCATATAGCGACAGCTGATTTAGCGCTTTCGCCGTTTTCTTTTTTCCTTGGCGACTCCCAGCACTGACTCGCATCGTATCGAGTTTCGACACTGCGACGTATGTCCGATTAAGGACACACAGGCGACGTAATGTGGATCGATCCTCGATCTTCGTTCAATATCCCAAGCCTCTTTACACAAAGCAACGTTTCTCATCTTCTGCAATCTAAACCGTTGCAAATTACTCAATACGACGATATTCTCAATTTCACTTCTAGCTACCGATTCGAATGAAACTTCCTAAGTTCTGAGACACCGTACACAGAATTAATTTTAACACGATTGAAGAAGTCCTCCACTCCCTTCATGTTTGTGAAATAGAACGTATCTCATGAGACGTTTCAGTTACAACGAGAGTTTCTGCGAGTTGCGTCATATTCAGATACTTGTGATCTTCGCGACAGCGAAGTGCGACATTGTATGAGCAATTACTAGAACGAAAACCTGTGTACTACGGAGGCGGTAAAAACAAATGGTCCTCGCGCGATACGTCATTTAATCGCAACGATCTTTACGCGCACTTCCATCGAGCGATGAAAGCGAATGAAGTTACACGTAAAACGAAGACACATTTGAGAAACGTCCTATTTCTCTTCCTTATAGTGATCTCGCGCTCTGTGCATCACCAGCTTGCGTCGAGATAGAAAATGCGAATTTGGCCAACGTACGCTGCGCGAATCCATCGGGTATCACGCTTTTCGTTCATCACGATTTTTTTCATTTTTTTCTTTTATATTTTTTTTTCATCGGTTCACATCCGGATTCGATATGGACTTACGGTGGTATGCCCAGCTAATCCGCCTCGAAGATGAGATAGGACGGGGCGAGAAGTGGAAGTTTAATTAAGCCAGATTACAGGAACCGGAATGAATAAAGTTTCGTCAAAGAGGATCGCGAAAGGCACCTTGCTCTGAGCAAAGATTCGTTGCGGCTAGAGTAAGATCAGGTGTCTCAGCGAGGATGAATAAATGAAACATTAAGAGATCGCATTTGTATACATACATATGTGTGTATATGTGTGTATGCGCATGTGTTAATATATGCGCATGCACACTCTTTTCGCGCGTGTGCGAAATAATCGCGCTCGTAGACTCTCGTTTTCTAAGAAAGCGAAACATTAGCGAACGATTTATGACGCACGCCATGCTTCGAGACAGCGATTCCATCGGGTAAAATTCAACATACGGAGGTTCGCAGTCATCTCTAAGATTGTTGGAAGCCCAATTATTCGATATTCTCATAGGCAGTGACGAATAAATGTAATTACGCCGATATGAAGAAATCTACTCGAGAAATATTCCGGTCTTCTTTCGCAATTAACCATATACGTTTGTTGAAACACAATTCAACTGCTACTTGTGCAACAGGCGTCCGAATGCAGACTGCGATTCCGCATTTTGTGACTGCATCCAACTGTCACACACAAAACGCGGAACTTTCATGCAATTTCGATGGGACATGACAACGCGTTTCGCTTTTTATGTTAAAAACTTTCGAACTATTTTTTCCACGGTTTCGCGGGCCAGATGCGCGGCGTTTTTTTTTCAACGGCAAATCGATAACGTCCGGAGCGGAAGCGCCGATAGGCATTGAGGCATCGTTGCGTGGATCACACAGCGTGTCACTAGATGATCCATCCATTTAGTGGCGATGGCATTTCGAATTGGCAATTCTCTCTGGAACGTTAGATTCGTTTGGCACTTACATACTTGTAATCTATAGATTAAATGTTTCCATTCAAGTGCTAAATGAAGGAAAAATTTAGTCACGCACTTTCGTCAAAACAGATACCGAGTTCTAGCAAGTTCAACATTTCAATCAACAATATTAAATAGCATGTTCGAAATGCTATTGTTACTACGTGAATGAATCAGCGGCATCATCTATTATAGTGGAATTTCAGATGGGTCATTTTCTTTGAGGAGAACAGTGTGTGTGTGTGTGTGTGTGTGTGTGTAGGGTGTTCCCAAAAGGTAGTACCAAATTTTAGAGATATGTAGTACTCGTTAAAAACAAACCAAAAACTCTTAATAAACAGTACTCCGAAAATCTTTTATTTCTGAGTTATGAAGCATTTTGTTCTGTGAAAAATAGAAAATAAATTAAATCTACAATAAATGTTCAATGTGCTTTCG